GTTGAGCAGCAGATGGCAGCTGCGTTGAGCAGCAGATGGCAGCTGCGTTTGGCAGCGCTTGGAGCTGTGTTGAGCAGCAGATGACAGCTGCGTTGAGCAGCAGATGGCAGCTGCGTTTGGCAGCGCTTGGAGCTGCGTTGAGCTGCGTTTGGTAGCTTGGAAGCTGCGTTTGGCAGCAGATGGCAGCTGCGTTTGAGCTGCGTTTGCAGCTTTTGGAGCTATGTTTGCGCTGCATTCATGGCTATGAACACGGTGCGTCTTGATGCTGGTGTGCGGGGAGGACTTCCGCAGTTTGATTTGAAGAGACCGTCGATTTGTAGTCTCTTTCTGTCGAAGCGTTGCAAAGATCGTCATTTTATAATCTTTGCTTTAGCTCTTTGATATGTGAGAGTCGTCAGATTTTAACTCCCGATGTTGATTATGAAGGCTGTTTGATTAGAGCTTCCATCAGTTATCGTGAAGGTCGTCAGATTGTAACCTTTAGCGATCTACGTGAAAGTCTTCAAATTGTAACCTTCTAGAAGTCGTCAGAGTGTAACTTCCATCATCGGTGTTTTGATGGGGATCAGCTATCTATTATGATTTTTAGACAGTCTACACAAGTCGAACAAACTTAGAACATAAACTTCTATATCAAGAAGTTTTTTTCAGCCTTGGGCTCTCTACAATCTCGTGCCCATGCATGTATTGCACAATATTATCAACTCTTGCATTTTTTTGTCCACCTCTCTAAGACATATTGCTCAGGTATCTTTTTTATCAGTGTAGTTTCTCTGCCTTCTGTCATCACTTTGATGCAATGCCTACACAAAACACCTATAGTTTCAAACATCCTACAGCTGCAAGATACTGTAAACTGACCTTCTCTTTTTACTAGCCTCTCCTTAGAGAACCCATCCCTAACAACAGTCAATCAATTTATAACATAATATATTCTGAAGTTCACTATAATAACAACTGCTAATACTTTTGTCACTATTTGATAGGTTCCTTAGAGTTCTTCCTAAACTATCTACTTTAGTAAACTGACTTGTCATAGAAGCTCTACTTACAGTGGTCAAACATTTAGAAAATTATTAGAATGAATGACAGGTACTTGTTTGCAAGAAGTGTACTTGAAATACCTTAAATATGGCTTTGGTATAAACTTCTCGTGCATGTATCAAGATACTTACCTCCATTTTGCAGTGAACAATCCGGAACAACAAATCATACTCAGCTTCCAATTCCTTATACCGCTTATCAAATATCATTCTTATAAAGTGAGTAAAAAACTCAGGCAATTGTACGTCTGATTTCAAATACCCCTTCAAACTAGCATTAAAGCTTTCACTCAATTGTGTAGTTTGCATTCCTGTTGACCATGTCCACTTCACATATGCATGCACCCATTTTTTTCTTATTTCAAATGTTGCAGCTACCCAAGTATCATCATGTGCATTGTACTCATCCAGCGTGGACTGCCAAGCACTCAAGAACTCATCCTCTTCCTCAATTTGATAAAGAAATTTGTTGAACACATTGCCTTCATCTGCTTCATTGTGGTCTCGAAATAAGAAGCCAACATTCTTGACAGCATTTTGCATCAAATGCCATATACAAAGTCGATGGTAAGTACCTGACATGTACAAAAAAATGATCATATACATTTAAAAAAAAGAATGCTATATACAAAGTCGATGGTAAGTACCTGGCATCACATGTAATACAGCCTTGGCTATCGCTGCATCTTGATCAGTGAAAAAGGTTTGTGGAGGCTTCCCACACATTGCCTTTAAAAAGGTTTCAAACAACCATATAAAAGATGCTGCGGTCTCGTCGTACATTAAGGCAGCTCCAAAAATAATAGTCTCTCTATGATGATTTAATCCAACAAACACCGCAAATGGTCGATTTGCTTCATTAAGTTTGTAAGTTGTATCAAAACTTACCACATCACCAAATATACCATAATCCATTATCATTTTAGCATCAGCCCAAAAAACGTTGGTAATTTGTTCCTCAGTGTCCAACTGCATCTCATAGAAGAACGAAGGATTTTCCAACATTTGCTTTGAAAAATATTCTATCAGATAACCAGCTTCCCCAAATTTCATTTTTTTCTGTCGGACAGTTCGAAGGTAATTCTTTTGGTCTACCTTAGTAAATCCCAGTGACTCTCTACCACCTGCTTGTTGACCCATTAATTCAAATGCAGACTTAGGCGAAAGACCTGAATTTGCTGTCAAGTCTAAAAAGGCTTCATCTGATGAAGTGATTTTTCGATGAGATGGCATAAAATGGACAGATTCTTGACTGATAAGATGATGGTTATGCTCTTCAGAGAAACGATAAACAGAATACTTTCCAGTACGCCTTACCAATTTAATCCCCATAATCGCTCCACAATTAGTCCTTGTCTCTCCTCTTGGATTTCTCGTCAAATCGTCTCTCTTCTGTTTGTGCATGTTGTGTGTGTGCTGGTCTTGACACTCGATTCCTCTCACATAAATATACTTGTTTGATCCCCAAACACTTGTTATCATACTCATCTATGATATGAACATATATTTCATAATAAAAACTCATTAATCAAATTCTACGAGGTTTTACAAATTAGTCCTTGTCTCTCCTCTTGTATTTCTCGTCAAATCGTCTCTCTTATCCGCCTTCCGTAAACCTTCCTTACAACAAACAAATGTTCTTGAAGTGAGTACACCTTGTTTATCTGCAGCATAAGCAGCTCTTCTAATGCTAAAGCCTTCACTACGTGCATATTCGTTATAAAAGTCATATGCATCAATCTCAGAATCAAACTCCATAAAAAATTTAGGTTTCAAGTCTTCTTTTGAACACTCCAAACTATCATTGTTTTCTTCCGCATTCTCTTCCATAATGCCTGCAATAGTCAATCAAATATCAAAAATCATAAGCACAGTTTGATATAGTCTTAATAAAAATTTCATGACACAATAAAAATTAAATACTAATCATATCTGAATTAAAAAAATTCCCCCCTATAAACCACAGTTTGATATAGTCTTAATAAAAAGTCATAAAGAAATATTTTCATGATCTATATTCAAGTTACAGTCATGAATGTTTCCAATAAACAAGGGATTAATGTTTATCAGTGTTGTTACTCCAAGAGCTTAAAATTGAGCAGAGAAAAATCACAAACCATAATTATGACGCAGAGAGTGAGAGGAGAAGAAGAAAGCAGAAGAAAAGGGGAAGAACTTAATCACATTACATACTCGCGGAGGAATTTTGGGGAGATTACCTGCAGCGTCGGAGGAGGAATCTTGCGGAGGAATTTTAGGGAGAGTTTTGGGGAAAAGAGAGAGCTCGCGGAGGTGGTCCAGATCTGCGACGAACTCCGCTCGCGGATCGAGATCGAGTTCGAGAGGGAGAGAGATCAACGGCGGGGTCGGCTCGCGGAGGTGGTCCAGATTTGCGGTGAGCTCGCGAATCGAGATCGAGGGGGAGAGAGCGCCGAGCGCCGATGATCTTGGAGGGGGAGAGAGGGAGGGGGAGAGAGGGAGCTGCAGGATGTTGAAGGGGGTTGTGAAGGGGAGAGAGAACTTCATGGGGATGTGTAGTGAGGATACTGGCCGGTGATGTAAAATGAACGGCTGAGATTTGTTCATTAGGAGATATTAGCAACTCCCTCGTTAGTAGAGGATCCGAGTCCGAATTTGTTCCCTCTTTAAAGCTTCACGCCCTCTAAGTCCCTGTTCTTTTCCCCCTTTATTCTTCACAAATAATTTGTTTTGAGTAATGCTCTCATCACCATTTCTGCATGAGCAAAATAAAAGGATAAAATGCATTTTGCCCATCTCTCTCAATTATATATTGGGTTAATCTTAGTTCTGATAGCCAAGGAAGAAACACAACCGTGTTCATCTTTGATTTCAAGGTAACTCTCTCTTCTTTGCAGAAAAGAGTATTTATCTTCAATCAATTTGATAACTTGAATCTTCTACGGTATTGAAATGTGGGTTAGTTTTTATCTCCAATCAATTTTGATACTGATAAAGGTGTTTTTGTAAAACATTTACGCCAATAATTCTCATATTCCATATGCTGCATTCTTTATAACCCTCACTTGCAATTTATGTTTCTTTATTCCGGGTAATGTTCAAGAAAACTTTCCGCGTAATGTTCAAGAAAACTTTCCTGATGCATTTCATCATAGTTCATAGTGTAGAAGGGCAAACCTGTGTTCGAACCTCGCCTTCGATGGCGAAGTTGAGGAGGCGAGGAAGCTCGCCTGTAGTGGACTCGCCTGATGGCGAGGTCGTGCGGGCGATGTTTGTGCAGGCGGATCTTGGGAGGCGAGGTCTCGAGCTCGCCTGTAGGCGACGTTCGATCTCGCCTGCAGGCGAGATGGTTCGAGCTCGCCGGATTTGATGGGAGCCAGCTGGACACAGCTGGAGAGATTGCCCTAGGGTTTTCCTATAAAAGGGAAACCCTGTTCTCGTGTTGTAGTGGAGCGGAGCGAAGTTGAAAACCCTAGAGCGGCGGAGCGAATTTGGAGAAGAGCGGAGCTTCTTCCAGCGGCTCATTCTCTGCGATTTTGAGCCCTCAAATTTGTCCCCGTCCCTGTTCTCATCAATTAAGGAGAAGGGGGTTGATTTGGTTAAATAGGGGGCTTTATTTGGGATAATCCAAGAGAGTGTATTTTGAGCGGTGATTTTAGATTAAAATCACCTGCTATTTGTTAAGAGATCTCAAGTTTGAGATCTTCTCTCTTATTTTTAATTTCTTGTTATTAATAGAAAATTAATTGTGTCGCTCCCGTGGACGTAAGCAAAATTACCGAACCACGTAAAAATATTATGTTCTTGCTGTGATTGGGTGTTGCTTGTATTATTATGGTCTTTTATTGTTCTTGTGTGTGCTATTGATTTGTCGAATCGGCTTCCGCGACGCACAACAAGTGGTATCAGAGCTCCGGGTTGGATTTGGGAGTTTTGTTCGAAGGATTCATTGTTGGATTCTTGTTTGGAGAGTAGATCTACAATATGGGTGATACAAGCAGTGCTAGTTCAAGTGCTATAAGTACATCGGGGTCAGCTTTGACAAAGGCGTTCTAAAATTTGAGCATCAATAACACTAAAATTGATGTTTCAAAGTTCGACGACAAGATCAATTTCGGTTTGTGGAGGTGTCAAGTTATGGACGCCTTAGATGCAAAAAATTTGAAGGAGACTCTTAAGCTATAAGAGAAACCCGAATATATTGATGATAGGGTTTGGAAGAAAATGCACAGTAGGGCTTATAGGGTTATTCGGTCATGCTTGACGCCGGATCTCATTTATAATGTGATGAACGAGACGTCGGCGAAGAGATTGTGGGAAACGCTCAATGAAAAATATTTGACGAAGAACATTGAGAATCGACTTCACTTGAAGAAGATGTTCTACCAATTCAAGATGAAGAGGGGAGTTTCCATTCGGGAGCATGTTAACAACATCACAGAGCTAATTTCGGATATGATCAATGTAGATATCATGGTGGAGGATGAAGACAAGGCGATGTTACTATTGTGTTCGTAGCCGGATGATGAGTTTAGTACGTTTGTTCTCACTATGATAAATGGACGAACTACAATTAGCTACAAGGAGGTTACCTCGACATTGGTAAATTATGAGCTGAGAAAGAATGATGGTGAGCCCTCTGAGAAGGCATCGGGAGATGCATTAGCAGTTCGTGGCCGTAGTCCAAACCGTCAAAGGTTCAACCGCTCAAAATCAAAGAATAGGGGTGGCCATAAAAGTATTTGTAGAAATCAATGTGTATTTTGCAAAGAAGAGGGACATTGAAAGAATGAGTGCCCAAAGTTGAAGGATAGAGTTGGAAAACAAAGGTAGAAAACTGTACAAGCTTCAGAGGTGAATGTTGCTAAAGTTGTTGGCGACACTTCAGATTCGGATTCTTCTGATTATTCTTATCCCGCACTGCCGTCTGTTTGTTATGCCGACTCTACGGAGTGGATGCTTGATTCAGGAGCTACATTTCATATTTGCTCTAAGAAGGATTGGTTTACCAACTTTGAGGAGTTGGAGAGAGGGGACGTAGTGCTCATGGGGAACGATCACGTTTGTCATATTAGTAGGATTGGCTCAGTCCGGATCAGAATACATGACAGGGTGACTAGGGAGTTAAAAGAAGTGAGGTTCGTGCCGCAGTTGACGAAGAACATTATTTCTCTTGGGACTTTGGAGACAGCTGGTTATAGAGTGATCTTAGAGGATGCTACATTGAAGGTCATGAAGGGGTCCATGGTGGTGATACGGGATGTCAGGAAAAATAACCTATACTACTTGAAGGGCAAGACAGTTACAGGGGGTCTGGCTACTTCTATTATCACAGAGGAGGATACTACCATACTATGGCACATGAGGCTTGGACACACAGGTGATAAGTCCCTACAGTTATTGGCAAAACATGGGCTATTGAAAAGTACAAAGACCTGTAAGATGGAGCTGTGTGAGCATTGCATTCTTGGGAAGAAGACTAAAGTGAAGTTTAGCACCGCAATTCACAACACCCAAGGTATATTAGACTATATTCACATAGATATTTAGGGCCATTCCAAGCACACATCGCTTGGTAGGGCAAATTATTTTGTCACTTTTATTGATGATTATTCCAAGAGGAATTGAGTATATACCATAAAACATAAACATGAGGTTCTGGATATATTTGTGGAGTGGAAGAAGAAAGTAAAGTTGCAGACAGGTAGAAGGGTGAAGACTCTTCGTTCAGACAATGGTGGAGAGTATAAAAGTGATCCATTTCTGTATTTTTGCTGGGATCACGGCATTAGAAGACACTTCACAGTTAGAGAGACACTGCAACAAAATGGGGTGACAGAGAGGCTGAACCGTACCTTGCTGAAGAAGGTGCGATGTATGATGACGCAGAGTGGATTGGCTAGATTCTTTTGGGCCGAGACGTTAGTTTATGCGAGCCATCTCGTTAACAGGTTACCGTGCACTGCGATAGAGGGGGAGACTCCTATGGAGCGTTGGTCTGGTTCTGTGGCTAGTGATTATGAGACTCTTCGGATATTTGGGTGTCCAGCTTATTTTCATGTTAGTGATGGGAAGTTGAATCCGAGAGCGAGGAAGGCTATCTTTGTGGGATTTAGAGAAGATGTCAAAGGCTTTAAATTATGGGATCCACAAGACAAGAAGATGGTTATTAGCAGAGATGTCACATTTGATGAGGCGTACATGATGAAGCCTCGAGTTTCTCAGCAGGTAGAGGAAGATCAGATATGAGGATATCGTAGCAGGTGGATGATAATGTGACTCCACCCACTCCAGTCAGCACTGTGTCCATTGAGACTCCTACAGAGGTGGCACTGAAAGGAGTTGAGATGACAGTCGAGCATTTGGAGGATACAGTGGATGGTGAGACTCAGGAGCATGGTCATGCTCAGGGGTCCATTACAGCGGATAGACCGATAAGAGACATTCGTCGGCCAGCTAGATATGATGATGTCATGGTAGCATATGCTTTATCTGTGGAGGTCGTTGATTTGATTCCTGCCATATTCAGTGAGGCAGAGTCCAGCCCTGATTCTATTATGTGGAGGAATGTTATGGAGGAGGAGATACAATCTCTTCAGAAGAACGACACTTGGGAACTTACAAAGCTACCTAAGGGTAAGAAAGCTATTGGTTGTAAGTAGGTGTATGCTAAGAAGAAGGGATCTTCTATTGGAGATATTCGGTTCAAGGCCAGATTGGTCGCCAAGGGATATACACAGCTTGAGGATATTGATTACAACGAGGTATTTTCACCCGTTTTGAAGCATTCGTCTATTCGGATTTTATTAGCATTGGTAGCACAACTGGACTTAGATTTGGTCTAAATGGACGTGAAGACGGCCTTTCTACATGGAGACTTAGACGAGGAGATCTACATGACACAACCTATGGGGTTTAAAGCTGCAGGAAGAGAAAATTTGGTGTGTAAATTGAAGAAATCTCTTTATGGACTGAAGCAATCACCGCGACAGCGGTACAAGAGATTTGATAGCTTTATGATTGGCCAAGGGTACACGAGGAGCCCTTATGACCCGTGTGTTTATATGCGCAAGCTACAGGATGGTGAGCACATTTATTTGTTATGATATGTTGATGATATGCTCATAGCTTCCAGGAACACTTCAGCTATTGGGAAATTGAAAAAGGAGCTATCATCTGAATTTGAGATGAAGGACCTGGGAGAGGCTAAGAAGATACTGGGTATGGAGATTGAGAGAGACATGGTGAATGTGAGATTGAAGCTTACACAGAGGAGTTACTTGCAGAAGATGCTAAAGAAGTTCAGTTTTGAGGGCAATACCAAGGTGGTGAGTACTCCATTAGCTCCCCACTTTAAGTTTTCAGCTTTGATATCACCAGTTTTAGTGGAGGATCGGGACTACATGTCCAAAGTTCCATACGTCAGTGCAGTGAGTAGCTTGATGTATGCTATGGTGTGTACGAGATCAGATTTATCACAGGCCGTGAGCATGGTATCTAGGTACATGCACAACCCGGGAAGGGGCATTGGGAGACCGTAAAGTGGATTCTACGGTATATTAAGGGTAACGTGGATGTTGGGTTGATATTTGTGAAGAATGATAAGA